GAAGACATTGGCAATGAGTTTGATCAAGTGCACTATTGGGAAAACAAAATGAAGGACCTTAAACAGAGTGATCTCTTGAACAATAATGACATCACCAGGACTGAACTGAATAAAGGCCAGGCTGAATATATTAGATGGATGGGGATGCAGGATGATATTCTCAGGCAGAAAGCTAGAGTGAACTGGTTCGAAGAAGGTGATGCTAACACTAAGTACTTTCATAGCACTATAAGGGAAAGACGGAGAAGGCTCCAAATTCAAAAAATCAAAAGCCCACAGAGGACACTGGATTGAGGGTGACTCTAACATTGGCAAGGCAGTTGTCCTGAATTTCAACAATTCTTTAACATCAATCACCACTTCAATGATCATAATATCATTAATTGTATCCCCCAATGTATAACTGGTGATAACAATGAAATCCTCACTGCCATACCTGATACTGAAGAGATTAGAGATGTTGTTTTCAGCATGAATTCTACTAGTGCAGCTGGGCCGGATGGGTATAATGGAAAATTCTTCCAAACCTGTTGGGATATCATTAAGGAGGATATTACTGATTTTGTTCAAGCAGTCTTCAATGGTAGGAGGCTCACTAAATTCTTCTCTCATACTTGCCTAGTTCTTATTCCTAAAGTGGACTCTCCTAGTAGTTTCTCGGATTTGAGACCTATTAGTTTGAGTAGCTTTACGACCAATATTATCTCCAAGATCCTATCCAGAAGACTAAATCCTATTCTAGGGAAGCTTATTTAAGAAAATCAGAGTGGTTTTGTGGAAGGAAGATTGATCACTGAAAACATTTTACTAGCACAGGAGATTGCTCAAGATGTGAACAAAAAGAACAGAGGAGGTAATGTTATAATAAAACTCGACATGGCAAAAGCATATGATAGAATTTTCTGGACCTTTCTGATGGCAGTTATGAGAAAATTTGGCTAATCTGAAAACTGGATTGACATTATCCGGGGGCTCCTACAAGATATCTGGTACTCTATCATCATCAATGGGACTAGAATTGGCTTTTTAACATCAACTCAGGGCCTCAAATAAGGAGATCCTTTATCCCCTTCATTGTTTATTATTGGAGTTGAGGTTCTCTCTAGAACTCTCAATGAGCTGAATGACTTTATTAGTTTCACTCCTTTTAGCATACAGCAAAGAGGCCCTATGATCAATCATTTAGCATATACCGATGATATTGTTATATTCTGTGGAGGAAACAACATGACTCTCAAGCTTATCAAAAAGGTTATTAACAGGTATGAAAAAGCTTCTGGGCAGAAAGTTAACAATGATAAGAGTTTCTTAATTACAGCCCCTCACACTTGTGCTGCAAGAATCAATAGAATTAGGAATGCTACCGGTTATATGGATAAGTCCTTCCCCTTCACTTATCTGGGATGCCCTATCTACTATGGGAGGAAGACTAATAATCTTTTTGACGGTATGCTTCCCAAAATATCAAAAAGCTCAATGGATGGCAAGCCAATATGATGTCTTCTGGAGGGAGAATGATTCTGATTAAGCATGTCCTTCAATCCCTCCCCACATACATCCTATCTGCTATGAATCCTCCTAAAGGAATTACTAAGCTCATGGAGAAACACTTTGCAAATTTCTTCTGGGGCACAAATGATGGTAAGAACAAATATCATTGGTCCTCATGGAACAACCTTTGCCTCCATAAAGATGAGGGAGGAGCAGGTGTCAGAAAATGGAAGATATCATAGATACGCTTGGCATTAAAAGGTAGTGGAGATTCAGAACTCAACCTTCCCTATAGGCCAACTTTCTCAAGAGTAAATACTGCAAAAGAGCCCACCCGGTTCACAAAAGGCCAAATCCAACTGACTCTCATATTTGGAGAAACATGCTCAAAATCAGGGACAAAACAGAGAATAACATTAGATGGGAAGTTCAGAAAGGTAATTGTAGTTTTTGGTGGGACAATTGGATAGGCAAAGGTGCTTTAGCCAATCTTTGCCAGGGAGGTGGGAGATCTTCTAAATTACAGGTGAAAGACTTCATGAATAATGGAGGATGGAATTTTGGCAAACTCAATGAAACTCTCCCTGCTCATATCACTGATAATATTGCTCACCTGGAAATTGGGGAACCAAATGAGGACGACTTCCCTGTTTGGATTATCTCTAATGACGGGAACTTTTCTTCTAACTCAGCATGACACTCTATTAGATTCAAAAAACATAAGAATGATTTCATAAACAAAATCTGGCATAAGTCTATCCCAATCAAAATGCCCTTTATTACTTGGAGAATTTTCAAAAATAGATTGCCATTTGATGATGTTATTTGCAGATTTGGTACTAACATTATTTCCAGATGTTCTTGTTGCTCCTTTGCACAGGTTGAAACAGTGCAACATGTCTTCAATAGCAGTGAAGATGCCAACGTCATATGGAATAATATTGGAAATGCCCTTGGAATCAAACACCAACAAGAACCTGTTATTGCTACCTTTAAGAGATGGTGGGAGACAATTACCAACAATAAAGTGCACAATCAAATTCTTCAAATTGCTCCCACGATCATATGTTGGGAAATCTGGAAACAAAGGAATGCATGCAGATATGAAAAATAGAAGAAGTTTTAGCTGAACACTATGAGACACCAAATCATTTGGACCTTGAAAGCTGCCATCGCTAACATTGTCCCTGGTGACACTACAAGGAAGTATAGAATTTGCAACAACATTTTAGCAACAACTAAAATATTGTTGGCTAAAATTGATAAATGGCAACAACTCGATAAAATTGTTGCTATAGCATAGACTTTTTGGCAACAAAATTTTCTTATTGGCAAACATGTTAATTTTGTTGCCATATGCTATGATTTTGATAATAAATTTTAAAATTTTAAAATGGCAACAACGTTCTAGTAACAACTATAGCGTTGTTGCGGAATTTCAATAAATGGCAACAACTAGTTTTAGTTGTTGCAAAAAATAGAATTTTTAACATAATAAAATTAAATTATAAATAGAATTGGCAACAATAAAAAATTGTTTGTTGGCAATACACAACAACTAGTTTTAGTTGTTGCAAAAAATAGAATTTTTAACATAATAAAATTAAATTATAAATAGAATTGGCAACAATAAAAAAGTTATTGTTGGCAATACACATTAAATTGCCAGATACGTGAATTGTGGCCTAAAGTTTCAATTTTCCGCCAAAAACAAACGCGGCAAAACCAAAAACCTTTTAATTACTTTCCCGGATTTTTTGCTCTCTCTAGTAACTATTCTTACTAGGGTTTTTCTTACCGATTCTAATTCAAAGAGGTCTTCCCCCGTTGTTTCTGCTGATAAGAAGAACTGTAAGAGGATTTGTTGCTGCTGATCGGAGAGAAGGACTTGTTGCTGCTGATCGGAGAGAACGGTAAGAACTCTAATCTATCTTCTGTGATTGTTATTTATATGTAGACTTCCAAGTCCCTTATGGTAACCAGCGAGAAACGGAAGAACTCTGCCTACCTCTTTTCAAAACAAAGGAAAAGAGAAGAAATTGTTCCATATTAAACGAGACCACACAATATTAGTCTTGGAATACCTAGCAGCAATTGGGTTTGAAGTGGTCTCTTAAAACGGACAATAAGAAAAGAAGAAAAGTGAAGCGTCGACATTGTTGCTATAGTGCGACTTTTAAGGTTGATAATTTGATGTCTTAATTAAAAAAGAATTCGATAATTAGTGAGCAGAATTCAAACCACCAGCTCTGTTTTTGCACTAGAATCTTGGAGAATTTCGTGGCTTGAAGTACTTAATTGGGTATGGGCATCTTAAATTCTTTTACGCCTTTCTCCTATAATTTCATATGCTTCAGAAAGAAACTTTGCATAAGTTTTTGTTTTATCGTTGTCCAAATTCTTGTTCCTTGCATTAGTTTTTTGTTTTAAAGTTTGTCCACATTCTTGTTCCTTGCATAATTTTATTGTTTTAAAATTTGTCGAGATTCTTGTTCCCTTTTTAATGGACCTTTTTCTATTGTTGCAATAACATGAATGTGATATTATTTCCTCGAAGGATTCTGTGATACTATTTATTGGTATAAATATTATTATGCCAATAAGGTGTGTGGGTTGTGGCCTAAAACATTCTAATTTTCCACGAAAATCAAACGCGGCAAACTTTCGCTTTAATAACTTTTTCCACATTTTTAGCGCACTCTCTAATAACTATTCTACCTAGGATTTTTCTTATCAGCTATTCTTGAACGAGCTCCTTCTCTGTTGCGTTCTGCTTGTTGCTTCGTATTGCTGCTGATTGGAGAAGAACCGGTAAGAATTCTATCTTCAATTGTTTTACCCGATTACTGCTTCAATTGTTGAATAGCTGCTCTTGTTGCAATATTACAAACTCCTGTAGCAAGTGCCCTATCCTCCATCATCTGTAGACTGTCTGCAGAACAATCTGCAACATCTGATGAAACCTTAGCTACAGAATTGTCTCTAATTCTTTGTTTTCCTCCTTCAATTTGCTGTTGACTAACTACTGTTTCTTTTGCTTCTTCACCTCCTTGCTTACCATCTTTTTCAGCTGAAACCTTAGCTAATTGTCCAGCTCTTTTAGTGTTCAAATAGTCCCTTGCATCACCCTGGAGTTTTTCAGTAATTGGACCATCTGCCTCGACCATACCATGACCATTCTGAGATGATTCCCCTGTTACTTCCTCTGTATTCACCTTTGTTGCTGCTTGTTTTTTCATAATTTCATCATGTCCTTGATGCTTACAATAAGTGCAGTATTTAGGGAGATTGTCATACACTATTTCCTGATGGTATACAATATACTTACCTGTAGCTCGATCTACAATCTGCAGCTTCACCTTCTTAGGATGTTTATCCAAAAGATCGATTATAACCTTAACTCGAGCTGCACTAGGTCTCATTTTTTTCCCATACAATTGATAATAAAAAATAGAAAGAAGGTTAATCATATAGTTTTACTTTTATATTTTATTGTAGGTAAGTACATGATGGATAAGAGCTGGATATTCATTAAGAATAGGACGTTGCCTCAATACTTGAATGGTGTCGAACAATTTTTAACCTTTGCATTTTCTAATCCTAATGTTGGTGTAAGAATCCAATGTCCATGTATTAAGTGTAATAATGTTCTTTGGAAAACACGAGAAGAAGTGAAGACAGATTTACTTAGGCGAGGAATTGATTCAACATATGATAGGTGGATTTATCATGGAGAGTCGGATTCATCTTCGGATGATGGAACAAATGCTAGTGTACATTCAGATATAGGAAATGATGATGCTTCCACTTTTGAAATGTTGCATGACTTGTATCGTGGTATTCCCACTGATAGTCATGAGTTTGATGAGAATAACGAGTCTAGTTGCGAAGATCCTAATGCAGAAGCTAAAATTTTCTATAGGTTATTAAAAGATGCAGAGCAAAAGCTATATCCTGATTGTGAAAAGTTCTCCAAACTCTCTTTTGTAATGCGTCTTTTTCAAATGAAGTGTCTACATGGGTGGAGTAATACCTCATTTGACTCTTTATTGAAATTATTGAGTGATGTTTTACCCAAAGGAAATGTACTCCCGAATTCTATCTATGAAGTTCAAAAGATAATTAAAGGTTTGGGTCTAGATTATGTGAAGATAGATGCATGTGTTAATAATTGCATTTTATATAGAAAGGAATATGCGAATCTTGAGCAATGCCCTAAATGTGGTGAAAAAAGATGGATGGTAAGAAAGGGAGGAGATACCGATGAAGATGTTGCTTTAGGAAATTTGAATAAGAGAAATAAAGGAATTTCTAGAAAGATTCTTAGATATTTTCCTATAATACCAAGATTACAACGATTGTTTATGACAAAACGTACCGTTGAAGATATGAGATGGCATAAAAATAAGCGAGCTGATGATGGAGTTTTACGACATCCAGCTGACTCATTGGCATGGAAAAATTTTTGATGAAAAGTATCCAAATTTTGCTTTAGATCCACGTAATGTAAGGTTTGGGCTTGCTTCAGATGGCTTTAATCCTTTTGGTTCAATGAGTAATGCTTATAGCATGTGGCCAGTAATCTTGATCCCATATAATCTCCCCCCGTGGTTATGTATGAAACAATCAAATCTTTTGTTGTCTTTGCTTATTCCTGGACCAAAAAGCCCTGGTATGGATATTGATGTGTATCTCCAACCCTTGGTAGATGATTTGAAAATATTGTGGGAGAGTGGAATTGAGACTTATGATGCTTTTATGAAACAAAATTTTTTCTTGCGTGCTTCTTTGTTGTGGACAATTAATGACTTTCCAGCTTATGGTATTTTGTCCGGTTGGAGCACCAAAGGTAAATTAGCTTGTCCGATTTGTCATATACACACTTGTTCTATTTACTTGAAACATGGTCGAAAGCAATGTTATATGGGTCATCGAAGGTTCTTGGAAATAAATCATCCCTATCGTCGGAATAAAAGTTCTTTTGATAATACAAAGGAAGAAAGACTTGCACCACAAGCTTTGAGTGGAGATGATGTGCTTGCACAACTTAATACATCCTCAATAGTGTTAGTTGACGGCAACACAAAAAAAAGAAAACGAGATGCTATAAGATATGACAATTGGAAGAAGAAAAGTATATTTTTTGAACTCCCATATTGGAGGACTTTATTGTTGAGACATAATTTGGATGTGATGCATATAGAAAAAAACATCAGTGAAAGTGTGATAGGAACGTTATTAGATATTGAAGGAAAAACAAAGGACACATTAAAATCTCGGTTGGACTTGCAAGAGATGAAAATTAAAAAACCCCTCCATCCAATAAAAAGTGGGAATAAATACATACTTCCTCCAGCAAGCTATACAATGTCTAAAACTGAGAAGATTCAATTTTGTCAGCTCATCAAAGAAGTCAAGTTTCCTGATGCTTATGCTTCTAACATTAGTCGTTGTGTCAATGTTAAGGAAGCAAGAATTTTTGGACTTAAAAGTCATGACCACCATGTTTTTTTTCAACGTATTTTTCCACTTATCATCAAAGGGATTTTGCCAAAGGATGCATATGATCCATTAGTTGAACTGTCATTATTCTTTAGCGATTTGTGCGCTAAAGAGTTGCATGCGGAAAAGTTAGATCAACTAGATAAAAGTATACGGGTGACAATTTGTAAATTNAAGCGAAAATACCAGAAAGAAAAATACCAGTTGCAGCAATTACTTAGAAATTTCTCCGTTAACCACCCGAAATCACCCCGAGCCCCCGGAACCTCAACCAAAAGCACTCTTTAGCTGCCCTTTTGGTTAAAATTTATTGCAGTAACTGATATATTTTTATGTCATAGATTTTTGCGCACCTTGAAAGGTTATGTACGAAATAAAGCTCGCCCAGAAGGATCAATTGCTGAGGGATATCTTGCTGAGGAATGCATGACATTTTGTTCCAAATATTTGACTGATATGGAGACAAAGCAAAATCGTCTGGATAGAAATTTTGATTCTTCTAATATAGAACCCAATGGCTTATCTATATTTAATCGTCGTGGTAAGCCATTAGTAGGAGGTACTTGGATAAACTTGAGGACTCATGAAATCAATCAAGCTCATTTTTACATCCTCCAAAATTGTGAGGAAGTCAGACCTTGGATGGAGTAAGATACCTTTCACTTAGTTTACATCCTATTATTATTATGAATCTCTCAACAACTTTGTTGTAATGTTATTTGTTTTGATTTTGATTAAATTCTCACANTAGAAATAGAAGTTCTACTACCTCTTCAATGAGTGCTATACGGCGCGAACCCGAATAATCGTGTAAGTAAATTCTGAATATGGTTAAGTGAAAAAAATTCGAAAAATTAGAAAACAAAATGAGGTACCTTAATGACCACGTTGCACCTCTATTAAGGCTCGTCTCAAGCTATTTTCACAGATAAATGCCAATTAAGAATTGCTAGAAAACTAAACATGATTGGTGGAGCTTTCTGCACTATCTGGTATGATGTGAAAATAGAAGGGTGGATAATATGTTCTTAAGATCTAAGAAACTAAATAGATACTTTAAATTCTTCAGAACTTCACAATCACTTGTTAGTATCATTGTCACGACCCTTAAAAAGAGGAATTATTTGAAGCTCTGAAGCCATCACGACCCTTAATGGATATATCATGGATGGGTATAGGTTTCGAACAATGGAATCTGAGTTAGGTTTGAAAACCCAAAATAGTGGTGTAGTTGTGAAGAGTGATGAACATACAGAAAATGTTGATTATTATGGAAAGATAAGAAAGATTTTAGAGATACAATATTTGGATAATAATTCAGTCATATTATTTCAATGTGACTGGTTTGAAGTTCCTACTCAAGGTCGTAGCCAAAGTAGAGGTTATAAAAGGGATGAATATGGATTCATATGTGTAGATGTGACACGACTCCATTATACAAATGATCCATTCATTTTAGGCTCACAAGCTCAATCTGTGTATTATGTTAAATATGATCAAAATGAGAATTGGCATGCTGTGGTAAGAGTAAGACCACGGAATTTGTATGACTTACCCGAACAAGAAGATGAAACAGAGCCGTATCAACTGATTGACTTGGTTGAAAGAGGAGAAGCAGATCTTCAAGTAGAGTCGGACAATGATGTCATTAGAATACAAAGAGAAGACATTGATGGAGTGAGTGTTGATGCACCTTCTCTGAATAACGAGGAAGAAGTAGACTTAGAAGCTTTTGATGAATTTGATGATGAAAATGGAGATGACTTCAGTGCAGATGAAGAATATCTTTCTGATGAATTTGATGAAATTGAGGATGATGATTGGCTGTAATTTTCAACTAGTCTTCAAGATAGTTTTGCTTATTTCATTCGCTTTCTTCACAGAAGTTCTATTTCCATCACATTGCCGAAATGGCTAATTTCTATTTTCTATTTCTGCAATTTCTTTATCATTTTTGCTTTTTTTTGTTGCAAATTATACTACTAGGCGTGCAAATTATACTAAAGCATCCAAGAGACTTAAGAGTTGTTGCTGCCCGGATTTAAGAGTTGCTGTTTGTTGTCGATCAGCTTTATGACTGGCAGCTGAAGTGTTTGGAATAGGCTGTTGTTGCTGCAGAATAACTGTATGTGCTGTTGTGTTTTGTGTTGTAGGAGCGCATGAAAATAACTGATTGGGAGGTGGCAAATTCCAGCCTCCAACGAGATAGCTGGTACTATTTTCTGTTGCTGTTGTCCATCCTTTACAATTGCCATATGTCCTGGAGTCAATGTGAGCTCTTTTCTTAGTACAGATGGTGAGCCAATTGAGAGCATGTCTCCTTCACTCTCTTGGAGTTTGGAACACTGTCAGTGTCATTTTGACGAAAAACTTGGTTCTGCTTTTTTGATGGACTTACCTGCTGTGCAGATGAGTTTCTACCTGTTGCCACATTCCAATCCCCTTTGTTTTTGTTCGTAATTCCACGCTTGTATACCTTACCTACATCCCCAGTTCCAAACGCAGGTACACTGCCCTTATGACCATCATTTGCAACCCCTAAAGTCTGGGCAGAAAGATGTTTGTCAGAGTTGTGCATTTCCCTGTTAGCAGCTGTAGTTTTAGGAGATAATTTAGAGGGCTGTTGGACTTTTGCTTTTCCTTGGTTAGTAGAAGTTTGCCCAAAACCTGCACCATCTGATATAATACCAATAGCATTGTATATACCATCTGATATTCGAACTCCTGGTTGCATAGCTGGTTGAATAGCTGCTCTTGTTGCAATATTACAAACTCCTGTAGCAAGTGCCCTATCCTCCATCATCTGTAGATTGTCTGCAGAACAATCTGCAACATCTGATGCAATAGCCACAACATAAGGAAGTATTAAATTTAGGGCTTCAGAATTAATTATATTTTGTATGAGAAAGTATAAACTCATACCCAAACTTAGTATAGGAATATATTGTAATGGAATCCAACTGATAGGAGAAGTGTCAATAGAGAGTTACAAAGATGAGGACTAATTCTAGAGTCAACAATGAACTAGCGGATGTACATATTCGTACTTGGTTGAATAAAAATTTTATTGTTTGACAAAAAAATGAAGAGTAGCAACTATCAGATAGTCGAGTGGGTGAAAATTCTATGAAACTATTTTTCAAATCACAACATAGACAAAAAAACAATAGTTGAGTTATTCTCATCTACCTAAATCTTAGTATGCTAATTAAACCTGTGACTGTGAAGAGTAGCAGCTACCAAATAGTCAAGTGCATCCTCCATCATCTGTAGATTGTCTGCAGAACAATCTGCAACATCTGATGCAATAGCCACAACATCTTCAAGAGGAGCTGCTTGCATAGCTGCTTCAGCATTGTCAGATGTACCAACTAGAGCACCTTGTTGTTCTGCATTGTTTCGAAATGCTACTCGATCCATAGTACAAGCTGTAGCAGCTGCACCATCCAAAGTTTCAAAACCTCCTGCTTTTTGCACATCACTAACAGGATTTCTTAGAAGTCTCAATTTCCTCAGCACAATCAACAGCTCTCTTTGAAACTCCACCATATGACATTATAGCTGCAGCAGTTGCCTTGTCCACAGCAAGAGCTTTTCCAACAGCTGAAGCTATAGACATTAACGACCTCTTTGCAAAGAAATTAGGAGGTAAACCTGGTAGGGAAATCCATACAACAGCCATAGACATCTCCTCCTTTGGATTGAAACCCAAAGTCCATGGGAATGTTCTGAAGAAAAATTCTTCGCCTTTGGATTTGAGATACCCAGTCGTTCTTGATAGGAATTGAACGTAGTCATTGTATAGATCAAACCTGATGAACATGTGACGAAATTCCAATTGCCCCACGTTACAGGACCATGCACGTCAAATTGCGACGAGAAATTTTTTCTGATTTCCTGTAGATCAAGCTTTCCATACGAAAATTTCACAACAACTGCCTGATGCAGCCCTTCTTCTCTTATGAAATCATTAACCTCCTCCATTGTGAATTCTATCATAGGCTCTCCATGATCGATTTGCACTGGTAACAAATCATTTTTGCTTTTAATTAATTTGTTTTTCTCAATTTCTGAAAATATATTGTCTCTTTCTTAGCATTTTGCTTTCGTCACTTGTACGTTCTACCAGTCTCCAATAATATAATTCCTTTTAATATGTGTTGCAGCCTATCATGATGACAGATGTGCATGTTTCTAATAATGATGGAATTGTTGATGTAATCTCAAATCCACCGCCAGGTAAGTTAATTCATTTGTTAAAATCGAGCCGTATAAAATCTCTAGCTTATGTATGTTATATTTATTATACATCTAAATATTTTCATATATAGTTGAAGGTAAAAAGAGAAAAGGAAGAGGGAAGACAACAGGGCTTTCGATCCAAAAGAAACGCAAAGATAGTGATAATGGAAAGTTGAAGGTGATTATTCCACCAGATCGAACTGTAGCAGTAGGTCCCGGAGCTAATGATTTTGTTACCGAGCTCTCTGTTAAAGTTATGCATAATGCTAGGCATGATGTCAAGAATTGGAAGGAAGTTCCTGATATAGCGAAAGATAGGATTTGTGCTCATATGCTGGTAATTCACTCTGTTCCCTTAGAATTTTTTTGTTGGTCCAATACACATAAGGAAATTCTCAATATAAGTATACAAATAAAGTATACTGATAAACCAACTTTAGAAAAGGTGACTCTGAACATCCCTTGATTAACTAAGCTCACTTAAGTTTGTTTTGAATTCAGGACACCTTCCAACTTCAAGACACACAACATAATCGAGATACCATCCTTAAAACAGCTAATAATTTATATAGATATCGTCGTAGTAGGCTCCATGATCATTTCAAGAAATATGCTACAAAGGAGGAATGCTTGCAGAACATGCCAGCCGATGTTAATGAAGTTGAATGGAAATTCTTGGTTGAATATTTCGATTCTGATACTTTTAAGGTAATTTATTAGGATACGCAAAAATTAAATTGATTTAACTTTGTAAATTATTTATTTTCTTGTTCTACTTCTTATAGTTCTATCAAGAAATATATTTATGGATTCAAATTCAATACGGAGAATGAGTGAGCGAAACAAAACCAATAAGGGAAAACAAGAAATGAATCATATTTGCGGCACAAAATCCTTCCAGGCAGTATCTTTTGAACAGGTAACATATGTCTTTATTCTGATGAATTTTAATTATTTTTTATTTAATAACATAATTTGATTTGTTTTGATAGAGAAATACAAGCACTGGAAAAGAGCCAAACATGCAAAAACTTTGGGAATTGACTCACATGAAGAACGGACATTGGGTTAATGATGCCTCTGCTGAAGTAAATGTACGTGCGAAACTCTTATCCTTATTCTTAGAATGTGAGCCGTAAAAATAAATATTGAAAGTTAAAGCTTGTATATATTTGTAGGATAAGGTGAATGAATATGTTGCTGAACAAATTCAAGAAATTGAAGAGGATACTGATTTGGACCCGATTGTTAATGCTGCATTTGTGAAAGTTGTTGGAGAAACGTCAAGTTATTGCCGTGGTCAAGGATCGGGAGTTAATTCAACAAGTAGGAGATCCATGAATGGAATTCAAGAGAAACTGCAAGCACAACAAAAAGAGGTGGAAGAAGAACGCCGTAAAAGAGAAAGT